TGGTGCTGAGCACTAATTGTTAAGATCAAATGGAGCCGGCTGGTATGACAGTACTACTGACATGAGACCTACAGTCTGTGGGGCTGGATCCTAAAGTTTAGGGCTCAGCGCTATACTAGCGGCCATACTAGCTGGCCCCATTCGATCGAAATCGTTAGTGCTCGCAGCACTACATCGTTTTTTCCGTGCATGTTAACATTGAAATCATTGCAATAATTGAATGTCAAGCAAACAGACCTCCACACCAACATACTGAGCGTAAATAGAGAAATCTAAAAATGTATGAGCCCAACCAAAGGGTGCGGTCGGGCAATTGAACTCATTCAAAATGTAAATCGAATACCACAATTAGACAGACGCGTGAGAGAGGGCCTAAAGACAGGCGACTCAGCAGCCGCCATGATGCAAATGTATTAAAATGAAGACGGATTCCCAGTTCAAACTTGTCATTACTCGCCGCGTTCAGAGATCAAGCGGTAGAGGGATGTGAAAATTAACCTGGATTCCTGATATTGCGAGGACGGCGACCGCATTTACAAGTGAGTGCGCGCGAAGAAAGGGCAAGACTAAATCCGAACTGTGAGCGGGTTAGCAGAGCTTTCCAGCCGATATCACACGTGGTCCAAGATTAATCACGTTAGCGACGGGTTCCTCTTAATCCGGCGGGAAAGAAATGCGAGTTGGCCGTTCCTTCCGTCGGTTGACCTCAGAAAAAAACTGGGGGAGGGAAAAGTCGGTTGGGAGATGAAGAAAAGACGTTTGGTCGGGTTGGAATGGGGTAGATGAAACAGCAGTTTTGGACGGGATTACGGATTGGTGGTGCAGATGTACTTTGTAGGATTCAAATCTCGTGACAAATTAGGGGAGCACGACTTGGAGTTTCATAAAGAGTGTTATAAACACGGAGTCTCACAGACAACTGAAGCACAATAAAAATGAGCTACCTATGCCTAAAAAATAGCAAAAATGAGCAATGAGCCAAGAATAGTAGCTCCTCATTGCAAAATGTCGTCACTGTGCAGCTTTCTGAAGTTCATTTTTTCATCCAAAATAATGAAATAAACGTATTTTACCCCATCGTAAAGTAAAATGACCTAGTTTCTTTATTCCTTCCAAATTATTTCACAAGTCCTATCCACGATGGCGCATGTGACCCACACTATGTGAAATTCCAATCGCTGAAATATTCCACGCAGCACAACTCAGCCTTTGAATATTTCATTTCCGGAGTGGCTCCAGGACAGAATGTGTCTTCCTTGACGAGCGCAAGGCGAATACATTTTCGTCAACGTCACAGTTGTCCAAACTTTACATGCATGACTAGCTCAGGTACCGATTCGACCCCCTCAAGGGTCGTCGAAAGTTCGCCCCGGAACGCGAACACAAAACACACACGGGCAAAAATGATATAATTTCCGAACACACTCAACGGTTTCAAATAATGTTTGCCGATGTCACCCAGCCCGTGCTTGACTCTCATTCTGGTGACCGTTTCAACCCCTCGCGCACAATGACATCCTCAAAGCTCGACGCAAGCAACCCCGTGTTTGACCCGGTGTTTTCCCCATTCACTCGTCGTTTGACCCGATGTTTTCCCATTCATGAGCGAGTGTGGTCGGGTGATTGCGTGTTTGTAACCTGATCCACCGTTACCTTACGGAATCAGGTGGAGCGAAGGGGTTGAAGCGGAAAGGCCCGTAAGGGAAGATCCGAAAACTGTCACCCCCTTCGGCATTCATACGTTGTTATTATCTGTACGGTATTCGGTTTCAACTTTCAAACAAATCAAAACCGGAAATGACGACGAGGGGCTTTGGATTTGCATCGATCGGGATCGAACCTGTTGATCCGCGGCTGCTTTGACACGAGACAAGGGTTTTTTAGTTATCGGGATAAGCCATTGATCTTAGGGTAATCGGTTGCCGATGTTGCCGCTCTACGTGTAAAATTCGCCTACTTTCCATTGCGTCGTATAGGGAAATAGGAGAGTTCTTTGCTTCAACGGCAAAGCTGCTGGTGATTCCTCCGGGCAGGTAGATCCTCGTTGTCGCATCAGCATCGGAGGCTCTCGTCGTTTGTTTACATTTTGTTTGGACGAGTAAATAAACGCTGCATACCCCGGATTACCCGAATCATTGTGGCGGTTGTTACTATTCGCAAAATCCAGGGATGTACAAAACAGTGGCGTGGCGTGAATTGCGATGTATCGATTGTTCTGCCATTTAAACCTATGGTAAAGAATCGATTTTTAAGGTGTTCGCTGAGAACACCCTATTTATCGATCCTTTTCCATAGGTTTAAATGGTATAACAATCGATGTATCACATTCGCCACGCCACTGGTACAAACATGAAAGAAAACGAGGAAAGGAGGAACGGTATAAATAATGCGATTTCCGTCGGAAGGAATATTAGCAATTTGGAACTATAAATTCTGGCTCTTCTGGAAAAACACTTATGTGCATAGGGAAATTAAAGGCACATACGTTGTTTTTAAACCGGGCTAAAATTTAAAGCTCCAAATTGCAAAATTTAGTCAAAATCTTGTAATTCTGTCCATTTTTAACTATTTGCATCATGTGAACGGCATCAAAAATTCAAAAGCTCACCGAAAAAAAGTGAAGTTGATTTAACATTCTGGGTCTGAAAAAAGTGTGAAAGAACTTATAAAATGTTGAAATGCCCGCTTCAGCAGTTACTTTAGCGATGCCGAGATGTAAAACTAACTGCTAAGGCGGGTAACTCAGCATTACATAAGTTCTTGCACACTTTTTTTACATCCAGAATGTTAAATCAACTTCAAATGCGTATTTCTCGTAATAGTAAAAACTGCATTTATGTGCCTTGGCCTCAAAGCCCCTCAAGAGATGTTCAGACCTCTTACCCCAAGTATTATTTCTCAGAGTACTTCCTCGTTGCTAGCATTGGTAGGCGCGTTGCCAAATCCATTGGTATTAAAGAAGTTTAACATCTTCCTCTCTAAGAGAGCTTGAAAAAAGTCCGCTGGGAACCGAATTCATTGAGTGAGGAAGTTTCCCTCGACAACCCTTTATTCAGCTATAATAAGCCACTGATAAATGGCTCATCAGTGTCAGCGTATCCCGCCACTCCGCGGAAGTTCCTGTACCTATTCAAATTATGTACGACCTCCTAAATTGCCCGATCACTCCTCGCGCCCACCTGAGACCCAGCACTCCTTCTTGTCACCTAGATGCCATTCAGGCGTGGGATATTTACATAAGTGGAAGGATTAATGCACGTAAATTGGTGGCGGAGAGAATTGTGTCCAAGTCGGGATGTCGTTGAGAGGATAATTAGGGTGTTTTGCGAGAAATTGGTCGAGGATGTCAGACGGCGCTTAAAACCCTGATGTGTCCTAAAGTGGTGGCTGACGTCAGATACTATATTTTTGGAAGCAGTGGCGTGGCGTGTTTTGCGATCTATCGATTGATCTGCCATTTAAACCTATGGAAAAGGATCGATGGACAGGGTGTTCGAAACGAATACCTTAATAATCGATTTTTTGCCACAGCTTCAAATGGGGGAATATCGATCGGAGCATTCACGCCTTGCCTCTGTATTAAAAGGGGGATATCTCCATTAACGAACATAAAAATTTACCGTTCAGCCACCCTATTAAAGAGACCTCAATCACTGAAACATAATTCTAAGATTTCAGCGAAATTGACCCAAATATCTTTAAAAGCAAGAAATCGACGTTTCCCATACGAATGAACGTATCTCTATTCCAAAGTTGCAAAATTACCTGAAACTCTGCAATTTTTGTCCAAAATGCGTCTGATTTTTGCATGAATTTCGAGGGAAAATCAGTGAAATTTTCAGTTAAAAATGCCCAAGATTCTCTCAGTAAAGTGCAATTTGCGGGGGAAGATTCAGCAGAAAAAACAACGAACCTCGTCGATCCACTGGGGCATACCGTCGTGCTAAGGAAGAACGCCGCATGAGCATTCCAGAGTTGCCAAATTTCTTTTGATAAAACATGTAGTTTTGACGACATTTATGCATATTTTTCCTCGACACTTTCGGACATTTTAGATCAAATTGCATAAAACATTGTGTATTTGGAAACAAATATTCACAATTTTCCCAGTAAATGCGATTTTTATTGGAGGAAATTTGGCAACGTCTGAAGGTTCATACGGCGTTTTTCCTTAGCACGGCAGCGTTTCATGCACTTGAACTTCCGAGGCAGTCATGAGTGGGAAATTATATGCGACCATTGACTTCACGGTGAGCAGCTAAAAGATGTGGGAAAGCATTGCAAGAAATACGGGCTCCTGTGTATATTTTTACGAGTACGCGTAGTGAAAACGTGTCACTTCAGTGTTTCGAACTCCAGTTCACCTCCCTTCTCTTCTTCTCTTCCTCTCTTCCTTATTTTTCTTCTTCTCGAGATCACTCACCTTGAAGACACGCCACACGAGAATCCCAATTTCGGCTACAAGTGGCTCATTGTCCCATACGTTCCTCTGATGTCGTCACCTGCCGGCTAAGGTATATCACAAGCGCCATGCGACGTTTCAAAATTTACGCCGCCATTTTTTTTTTTGGTATACAGAGAAATTGCTGTTAGAATCTGTTTAAAAATTCACTGAATTATATCGGCAGCAAAAAGAGAATTCAGTGACATTTTCGGACGACTTAGTTGAGCGACTACTCTGTAAAAAAAAAAAAAAAAATGGCGACAGAAATTTTGAAACGTCGCATGGCGCTTGCGATACTTTGGCCGAAAGGTGACGATGTATCGATTTCGTTTTTGTGAGGTGTTTGCCCTGTTAATCTGGTATGATTATTTTGCTACATTGACCTTTTCTTGCGACTAATCGCAGTCTCGAATCGGAAAGAAAGATTTCCACAATTGAAAAACGATTTTAAAGCTATGCAATAGTCTCGTTATGGACTAGACCCTTTACCGTCACTCGAAAGGGGTTTACAGTGATTTTTCATAGGTATAAGAGGTTGAGGAATGAGGACACTTACCTGTACAACATAATGCAACTAGGGTATGTGAATGAGATCTAATCTTTGGTTTGTCTTTGGGCCAGGTTACTCGCTCTAAAATGTGGTCTACAAAATCACTGCCAGTGACAGCGGAGAGGTCCCATTCCAGCCGGGATAAAGCCAGTAACTCCCACGTCTAAAACAAAAACAAAAAATTTGTTTAGAATCAAAAATAAAAAATTTTTTCTAAATTTTTTCATTGTTTACACACGGAAAAAATGAAATTGCTGATTTAACAATTTTGTAGTTAAAAAAGTGTCCGATTCAATGTAGATTTTACCATAAAAAATGCTAATTTAACCACCCCCGTAGTTAAATAGATCTAGCATTACTAGTTCCTTATTGCGCAATGCTGTCAAAATGACGTCACTTTTGCCGTGGACATCAACAACACATTACCACGCAATATCGTCGATGAGACGAAACAAGCCGCGACTTTCGACCGGAAGTTCACTTTCCAAGACAGGCGAAAACACGCAGGGGTTGAAAAATGCCCTCCTCCGCAACAACCGCATAACTGCAACGGAAACACCTTGTAAGATACGCGGTTATCACTTGACGCGTCAGAAAACTACTGCGGAGAAGCCGGTGCGGGAGGTGGAACTAATGACTTGAGCACACAAGTCGCCACCCTGGTCACGAAAGAACATACCTGTATGACTCTTTGTATTGTAGTTAGGTTGTTTTGTCATCGGGGTGATAGAATATCGGCGAAAGATGGTACTCGCGTCTACGCGGCGTGAAGTTCCTGGGGGTGGCAATGGCCCCGCTATTAATCGGGCCAAGGTCCGTGGAACCACAACCGGTGGCCATCCCTAGGAAGTCAGATAGGGATGGCCATTTCGAATCGATAACTTGAAGGCATCGATTTTTTGACGCAGAAATCGAAAAAAATTGTGTCGATCTTCAGGAGTCGATTTGGAACCGGAAACGATTTTTTTAGCCAGTAAATTCAGCAAACAATTAAAATCGATTTTTTTTTTTTTTTTTTTTTTTTTTTTTTTTTTTTTTTTATCAAATTTCATGATCTAAGTTCTGAGAACATTAATGGCATTGACGTCATATTGGCGATTTTCCATTATTCTGATCTCAAAAATCGAAGATATTTAATTTTCATCACAGACTATTAAATTTTCAGAGATTTGAAATCGATTACTGCATAGATAAGCAAAAATTGCATCGATTTCTCGGCGTAGGTTTAGAAATCGAAATTTTCGACCCGGTGAACGAATAAAATTGAAAATTGTATCAAAATTAGCACAAATTTTCGAAAACGGTGACTGAGATGACGTCTTACCATAATTTTGATCCCAAAAATCGAAGAAATCAATTTTGCGGAAAATCGATTTTTCATCGCCGGCCGATTTTCAATTGCATCGATTGTGTTAAAAATCGAATCGATCCTCCGAGATTGATTTTTCTCTTGAATATTACCATCCCTCGACCAAATAGTTGACACTTCAATGACGGACCCTGTGAATGAGGGATAGCCTGGGGAAAGGAACTTAAGTGCAATGAGACATAAATTCCGATGGGCTGATTGAATTGAAATTATCGGATGTGATTATTCTATTATCGGGGCGAGTTTGAGGATGTCCTCGAGGCGTGACTCGATCACTCGAAGTGGTCGAGCGGAGAATTCGACCTCTTGTTTAATTATAGTCTATGCATTGCGTGTATACGTTCTTCGAGGTCAATGGAGCAAAAAGGTTCGTCGAATTTTCGACGGTTCACATGGACGATTTGGTCGATAGGACGTGAACTTTTTGAAAATTTTGCGTTTGGATATATAGACTGTTCAAAATGAACATAAGCACGCAAGAAGGGATGAATCGATAGCGAATCTAGAAAATCGTGTATATCTTGATCGTGGGATTTCAAAACTGCCCCTCCTGCCTCCTGTTTGTTTTCTTTTAATCTATTTTTCAAGGAGTTATTACTGGGCGTCTCTCGCTGGGAAAAAACACATTAAATCTAGAAGCCAGACTCTTAAAAACATCGACAAGAAAAAGTATTCTTGATTCAATCAGAATCTAGCTTAAATCAAGAACCAAGCCTCTTAATTTAAGCGGATTTCGTTTTGATTCAAGCAAAAATTCGACTGAAATCAAGAGTATTTTTTCTTGTTAATGTTTTCAAGAGTCTGGACTCAAGAGCCAATGTGTTTTTTTCCAGTGCTGTGTGAAATTTCACGAGAATATTCCAGAAAATAAAATAAAAAAAACTTCTTTGAAACTTTTGAGCGAAATGTATGATTAATCAACCCTCAACCCCTTCAAGGATCAGGGAAGCAAAAAGTGACAGGAATCCGCTGCGTCCCTAACGGCGGAACATGGTTTTGAGGCGTGAATGATTATCGATATTTCCCCATTTGAAGGTGTGGAAAAGAATCGATTATTACAGTGTTCGTTGCGAACACCCTGTCTCTCGATTCTTTTCCATAGGTTTAAATGGCAGATAAATCGATAAATCGCAAAGCACGCCGCGCCACTGATTCAGGGAGACGAACGGTTACATTTTCAAATCCCTTGACACAGTTTAAATCGTCCCTTTCGGCCTGTTTAAAAATTCACGCCGCGTTTTTCCGCACTTAAACGTGGGTTCAAACCTGCCCTCACCCGAACTGTTCATTTCAAAAAAAGACCTAAACGCCAAACACTTTTGAGTCTTGGTTCCCCATAGCTATTACGACGCCCCGAACTCAAGAGTTTTTACCACTTGAGCCCTTTAAAATCCAAACGGTTTCGATTCCGATCAGGGGCGGCATGGAAAGACAAAACCCCAAAAGGTGCGAACACGAATATAAATAGCATTAAACGTCATTAATTTTATTGAAATCTTTTCAATACAGTGTTTTCCAGCCCGGTCGCGCGCAACCGACATCGCCAGACATACATATTAATGATTTCCACGATACAGCGCCGATATAAGTAAGTAGGATTTTAATTACAATAGACCGGCTCCAGACAGGGGTGTGAAAGATGTTAGGTTAGGCTGCGCCGCTGCCTCAAGACTAATATTTGAATAATAGTCCGATAGACAAAGGTTATCCGGAGGGGTCTAATTTAAATGGGGGTTGTTGGGGTAGGTTCGGATCGATAGGAAAAAGCGCGCTTGTTTATACAAGCGAAATCCATCGGTTTATTTACATACCCATCCGGAGAGGCCAAAGTTCCAAAGTGAGTGATGGTCAAGAAAGCTCCGCGAAACCTCACGGCGAGGAAACAATGGCGTCCAGAAGAGATCTCGATTTGTCAAACTCCCGATGCTCGCCGACAACCGGTTCGAATCGGTAGCTCGCTACGTGAACCGAATTCGGAGCGATTTTTTAAATGGCTTAAAGAGGTGTTTTTGATTCGCCAAGGGCATCGTCTGTCACCCGTGGGTATTAAATCATCACGGCTACGGAGGGGGATCTCCGTTGCAGATTAAAGTTTAACAGATCTTTGGCGATGAGCCACGGAACCGGTAAGGAAACATGCTTGTCATGGCTCGAGACGATTTCGATTTTCGACGCGATTTGAGCTGTCAAAGGTGACCTCTAGGGATGGACGAGCGATCGAAGGTGAGGCGACCTTTGTTTTTGAGCCGTGCAGGATTTGGCTGGCTTTTGTTGCGCACTTATTCGCCGGAGCGAACAGCGAGCTCCTGGTTTGCGTGTGACGCTGTCGCGTTGGTAATCCTCGTTTTGAGAAGTGAAACATGCGTTTGGACGTAAATAGTGATCATCAATGGTGATTGGAATTTGAGACACTATGAGAATGAAGACGTGGCAGAGATGAGAGAGAGTAAGGCTATAGAAGGGTTGCGAATTCTGGTGGAGTCGTTATAGGTGCATCGGTCTTACCTGTGTTGTTTATTAAAAAACAAGAGAATGAATAAAAGCCTGCTCTAGTCAATGAATACGCAAAAAAATAAAAAATAAAAAAAAATAGTCACATCCATTCGTGAAGTGCATCATTATCAATATTGATGAAGGATCATTTATCATTTACTTCATGAGAAGTCACTCAGAAGGCTCAGAAGGCTTAGCGGAAGCATATAGTTTGTAAAAGTCGAATAATACGTACCTATCGTGACTTTGCAAATCTCTGCTAGCGTCTGATCTGTTTTCCAAAAAAACCTAGAGCAGCGGTTCTTCTTGAAATTGTCTGGATTATCAAGGAAATATGGACGTATTTCCGCCAAACGGAACTATAGGCACTACAACGTGAGCCCTGTTATGCATATATTCTTATGGGTCTCAGAGCTCATAATGTCCTGGTGCACATAGTTCCGTTTGGTAGAAATACGTCCATATTTGATAATGGTTTTTCAATAAAAAATGTTTTTTAAAAAAAATCAAATATGTTTATTGTTGCAATTGAGATACGCACACTTCAACTTCTGCTTTTTATACAAGTTTTAAAAATATTTTATTATTTGCTGCATTGAATGCGAGATTTCGTCTGAATTCACTTCAATTTGAATAAAATTTAAGTATCTATGCCTTCCCTATTACAAACATGCTAAACATTTACGATCGGATTTTGACTTTTAATTGAAAGTTGAACCACGCAAGTCGCAATTATTACTTGCCAATACAAATAAGCACATTGCTAACATTGTGGAGCCCACGTAAAAAGCTCTATCCCACAAGGATACTCTGCATTGCATGAATAATGACAGTTTTGAGTCTCACGAAATACTCGAACGATGACCTCACATTTCGCCGTTGGAAACTTTCAACGCATAAACGTCACCGAAACCTAATCCATTCATAAATTTCATCCCGCCGAAGAAAATCGAAAGAAGCAGAAGTAAAAACCATCGTTTTACCCACGGTCGACTTGACGGATTAATTTACATGTCGTAAAAAAATCACAGCTCAACGGCTGGCAGCGCCTTTTGACGGAGTGCATTCGATTCGTCATCCAAAAATCATCCTCGATCAGAATCAGTCCGACGCGATCTAAATTCAAACCGTTTTGACACCCGGATCGCATAAAACTCAAAACAGAATAATCGAAAGCGGGATGTACCAGACACCTTTGCCCTCGCCAATAAAAACCCGAGTGAATAATTCGGGGCCGAGATTCAAATCATTTCTGACGCTGCATTTAATTGGTTACATTCAAATCGATCCGGGGTTATTTT